GTGCTGCTGGTTTTCAGCTTGCTTCCTCTTAAGGGCAGTTGGGGAACCATAGAAAGGATGGGAGTAGAGAGATCCTGTCTGACTGTGATCAAAGGAGGCTTCCGGAGTTAGGCAGATTTGATTAACTTGGGTCTGGAAAGATGGACAGAAGATTTATACTGGAGGAGAAGATGGGAGAAATTAAGAAATCATGAGAATGGGGTCAGATAGGGAGTCTTGGATATGGACTATGTGGATTCCCATCCATCCATCCATCCAACCACCTATCCATCCATTGAATGTTCATGAGCACTTGTATACAGGGCTGGGTTGTGGGTTTTTCCTGGAGGCACTAGGAAGCTATGAAAGGATATGGACAAGAGAGGGCCAGGGTCTGCTATCTGGAGAGCCCTGCAAGGAATGAGATGGAGGGGAGATAGTGGAGACTGGGGCCATGCTGGAGGCCGTGCTGGGGGCCCAGGAACTGGGAGTGCTGTTTGGGGCAGATGGGTGTGAACAGTGTACCAGTGAACAGTGTGGAGCACCAGGTAGGGGCTGTGGGGATGGTGACAGTGTGGGATGGCCTCGTGCAGTGAGGTCAGGAGTCCAGCCCACTCCCCATCCCCCACTCACGGTTGGCCTTCCTCAGTACCAGAGGCACCTGTTTGTGCACATCAGTCAGCATTGTCCCAGTCCTGGAGCACCGCCATTGGAGAGTGTGGACGTCCGGCAGATCTACGACAAATTTCCTGAGAAAAAGGGTGGTCTGCGGGAGCTGTATGATCGAGGCCCTCCCCATGCCTTTTTTTTGGTCAAGTTCTGGGTGAGTTCTGGAAGCAAAACCAAAAGTGCTTAAAGACCATGTGACATCCCAGCTAAGGCCACTGGCTAGATGGAAGAGTCTCAGGACTTCTCAGGACAGCCTGGGCCTTACAGGTCAGTCCTCAGGGCTTTAGTGTCAGTCTCTGTTGCAAGAAGGAATGCTGAGGAGTCCAGCCCCTGGAGCAGGATGGAGGCACTTGAGCCTCCCCAGAACCCGCTAGGCTGCCATCCCCAGTCATGGGACTAATATGTCTTAGGATTGGCTTTCCACGTTCAGGTCACTCCAGGCCCCACCTGACCACACCAACCTTGTTGCTAAGGAACAGCCACCTCCCTTAGCCCATGGAGTTGTGGAGGATTCTGGTCTCTATAGGTGGGACTGAGACTTTGCTAGTTTCCACCAGATTGCTAGAGAATGTCTTGCCCTCGGGAAGTGACTAAAGGAGCTGGGGAGTGGCTTTGTAAAGTTCTGTATTTAACAATCATTTATTGGACGTTTATTATACCTGATACCAGGTGCTATGCATACTCAGCCCTTGGTGTATCTGGATTTCACATCCACAGATTCATCAAGCTGCAGGTAGAAAATGTAGTTAGGCCTACGAAGGTTGTGTTTGTGCTAACATATACAGATTTTTTTTTGTCATTATTCCCTAAACAATACAGTATAACAACTATTTACATAGCATTTACATTGTATGAGGTGTTATAAGTCACCTAGAAATGATTTAAAGTATACAGGAGCATGTGTGTAGGTTATATGAGGAACTTCAGGGTCTACAGACCTTGGAATCTATGGGGAATCCTGGAATTAGTACCCATGGAAACCAAGGGATGACTGTATATAATTGTGACTAAGGATCCATCTTGGGTGTTTTTTAGGCCTATTTGGTTTGGTGTCCAGTACAATAACTGACACTACAGGGGCTCAACAAATGTTTTCTGAATTTCAAGGGGATGTTAACTCCTGAGGTAACCAGGGTGGTGGAGGGATCTAGTCTCTTAGGAGAAAGCCTGCTGGGGCCTTGAGCTGTCCTGGTCTTGCTGGGTATGATTGACTATCGTTTTAAAGCTTTCTGACTTGTGGTGTGAAGGCCCAAGATGACTCTAGGTATGTGCTGCAGAGATCTTGGGCACTGTTAGGGCTTAAGACAGGCCCCACCAACTCCCAGGTCTGGAGAGACACCTACTTAGGAAGCCTGCTGATAAGGGCTTGGATGTTGCCTGGCTTCACAGGGTCCTGTTGCCAGGATGGAGGATGGAATCAGGCTTTTGAGGAGACCTACGTGGCAAGGTGTTAACAACTTAAAGTTAGGAAGAGGAGAGGTATCCTCTACCTCCCAAGGAGGTGGCTCAGACTCAGGCTTCATTAGGCCCCTCCTGGTCTAATGACACTTGACCACCTGTCTGTACACTTGGCATCTGGGATGATGGAGGGGGCCTTACCTGGGAGCACCAGCTGAAAGTGCTGGAGTGTGTTCTGGAGACGAGTCCAGCCCTGTTGCTAGGGAGTAGTATTTACCTTAGCAACCAAGGTAGTGAAGGGCTCTGAGGGAGGCCATTGGGTCTCAACCTGTTGCTAGGGGTAACTGCCTCCTTAGTAACTGGGCCCTTGGAAGGGGCTGAACTCTTATGTTAGGGCTTCAAGGGGAAAAATATGAATTCCAGAATTCCTTGGCTACTGGGGAGAGAGTGTCAGGACCATTTTGAGGACCCAGACTTTTCCAACACTGATGGGATGGGTGGGTCTTCTCCAGAAACCAGCTCATGGAGATACGGGAACTTTGAAAGCTGAGGAAGATGGTGGACAACTACAGGGGCGACAGGAAACCAGGCTCTGGGGCAGGGTTTATAAAGATGTCCCCTCCTACTCACCCTGTGCTTCCCCATCTCCCAGGCGGACCTGAACTGGGGCCCAAGTGGTGAGGAGGCGGGGGCTGGCAGCAGTGGCGGCAGCAGCGGTGGCTTCTATGGAGTGAGCAGCCAGTACGAGAGCCTGGAGCACATGACCCTCACCTGCTCCTCCAAGGTCTGCTCCTTTGGCAAGCAGGTGGTGGAGAAGGTGGAGGTGAGGCTGGAGGTGTGGGCGCCATCTCCCCTCCGGGGATGCCACACAGACCATGAGCCATGATGGCACAGGCATTTGTGGGGTGTGGGGAGCAGTCGCAGCCTCTGGGGGTTTTAGTGTGTGAGCTTGGAGCTAATACAGGCTTCGGAAGCCACAGATAGGGGGCATTTTGAGGGTGGAAAGGTGTGAAGATTGTCAGTAAGATTCAAAAGACTCTATGGATTTGAAGGATTTGCAGGGCAAAGAGGTTCAGAAGTCACATTTAGGGCTTGCTGGGACCTTGGGGGTTTCAAGTACAGTTTGTAAGTATCATGGGGCAAGGGTCTTGGAGGGTTTGGAGGTCCAATAAGGTTGTTGATAGTTCAGAGGACGTGGAGGGGTTTCTGGTTTGCCTGCTCAGATCCTATGTCAGAAGACACTGAGTGTTCAGTGCCTGGTCTCTGGGCACTGAGAGTGGGTTGTTGGAGGGGAGACAGCGGTGGAAGTAAGTGTGGCATCTGAGGGGCATGCTGGGCCCCATTCCTAGGTGCCCTGTGTGTGTCTTAGCCACTGTCCTCCCCACTCCTTGCCCCCATTCAGACGGAGCGGGCCCAGCTAGAGGATGGGCGCTTTGTGTACCGTCTGCTGCGCTCACCTATGTGCGAGTACCTGGTGAATTTCTTGCACAAGCTGCGGCAGCTGCCCGAGCGATACATGATGAACAGCGTCCTTGAGAACTTTACCATCCTCCAGGTGATGTGGGGGTGGGGTCTGGCTGGAACAGGGGCCCTGACGTAGAGAAGAGTGCTCTCCACAGATCCTTAGCTTAGGGGATCCCTTTACCCCGGGGACTGATGCAGAGGGAGCTCCACAGGGAACCCTCATCCTGGAAATTGAGGCAATAGGGACTCCAGAGATGACCCTTAGCTCATAGGCTCTGTTCCCCTAGGGAGCTGATGGGGGACTTTACAGCACTCTCACATAGGAGGATCCCTCTCATTGGGGAAATTGACATGGGGGACACCTCAAGGTGATTCTCAGTTTCCCAGGGAATCTACCCTGGCTCAGGGATCATGAGCTAAAGGGAGTCCATTTAATTTGGGGGGATGTGCTGAGGTAGAGACCTGTTGACTGGGGCATCTTTACCTATGACATGGTGGAGATCTCTGAAACCTGGGGAATATGACGTGGTAGGATTCGAGGCCTCTCCACTGCTGATCCTCAGCTTAGGGACAATCCCTGTTGTCCAGGGAACCTGACCCATTGGGCACCTTTTTACTTGGGGGAACATAATGTGGTTTACTGGCAGGTGATAAAGAGGCCTGCTGGGGGTCCCCTGGTAGCCTGGGAAGGCCCCAGGGATCCTTCTAAGCATAAGCCCATTCTCCTGGCCTCCCTGGCAGGTGGTGACAAACAGAGATACCCAGGAACTGCTGCTCTGCACCGCCTACGTCTTCGAGGTCTCCACCAGTGAGCGTGGGGCCCAGCACCACATTTACCGCCTGGTCAGGGACTGAAGAAGGAGCCCACAGTTGGCTCAACCCCAGAACACCTTCCTCCTAGGAAGGACCCTCCAGCTCTCTTCACGATTCTTATTTGGGAAGGGGGCTGTGATGGAAAGGGGCTGACCACAGAGGCCTGAACAACAAGGACTGTCTCCTATTAGAAAGGACCCCCAAACCTGCTTGGTGAGCTGAACAAACCAGGACTGAAGATAGACCCCAGTACTGGGACCTCACAGGGGGTGTCTGAATCTCCTGAGCATCAGGGATTGGGGACAGGAATAAGACAACCCCCAGGTACACCACTGGTTTCCTGGCCTCTAACTCTCTTCTGGATGTTTTGGCAGGCCCTGGTTCCACATTGGCTTGTCTCCTCCCCTAAATATCCCCCTTCTGATCTGTGATGTCACAAATTGAGGATTAACCTTTTTGTGCAGAGCCAGGTGGGCCCTGCAAATATTTTGTTTTTTTTAAAAAATATAACGAAGTATTTATACGTGGGTGTTAGGTTGTGGCTTTTTCGCAGCTGGGTAAGGAGAGGGGTGCGTCTTTCTAATCTCATCTCCCTTCTTCTACGTGAGCCTCGGGTTAGATTGCTGCTTTCCCCATTCAAAGCGTTTTGGTTTGTGTTCTGACAAAGAATAAGGCTATTTTACCAAAATGTAGGGGATTTATTTGAGGTTTGAGTGAAAAATAATCTTGTGGGAGGTGGTAGGCCAACAGATGAGTCAAGGAAAGGAAGTATGTGTGGAGCAGGAAGCCCCAGGTCCCCCTGGGGAGGTGGTGGCAGTGGCCAGGCAGACATCTGGGTCCCCAAGGGAATGAGGAGGTGGAGGGCTCAAGGGAAACAAATATTTACAAGTCCAGGGCACTTGAAGGGGTCGGGGTGGGGTCTAGCGGTATCGAGCCAGCCGGTTGTAGTAGACGTGGTCCAGGTTTCTGCACAGGAATATCGAGAGCGTCATGAAGCCGAGCTATGGAGAAAGGAGACGCGATCAGAGATGACAAAGGGCTTCCAGTGAAGGGGGTGAGGGGGTGACTTTGGCCCTGGAAGCAGAAAAGTCAGAGGGTGGGGTTAGGGTAAGAAAATAAGGCTCCCAGGCTCCTGTGTTGTGTGTGTGTGTGGGGGGGGGGGTAGGTAGAAAATGGGTGGGGCTAGAGGAAGAAGTGGGTAAGTTGAGAGCTAGAGAATGATAAGCTGAGCTACAGCAGTGATGAGTCCAGGAACCATGAGTAGGGGAAGCCCTGTGTCAACAGGTGGGGAGGCGGCGGGGTTGAGCCCGAGAAGGAGTCAGGTCGGAAGCAAGCCTAGGGTCCTTTATTCTGGAGGTTCATCTGTTTCCCCCTCCACTTCAGCTTCTACGTCCACCTCAGCCTCCACCTCTGCGCTAGAACTCCCAGTATCAGGTTGCTCTTCCTCTTGATCCGAAAGCCGCCAGGGCCCCAGGGCCATGGGAAGCTTGCCCTGCGGGACTTTTCCCCCCCAGTTGGGGCAAGCACCGGCCATGCCCCATCCACCCCACGAAGCACTGGTACGTCCGCTGCTGGTGAGGACGCCACAGCGACCGCCACCGCTGTCGGCACTGAGGCAGGGCGGAGGGCTTGAAGTACCCGGACCCATATGCGGCTTTTGTGGCTCGGGTTCCCGGCGGGGTGCTTTGCGCCGCAGCTGTAAGCTCAGCACCATCACACTCACCTGCGGGGAAAGGGGAGGGATAGTGTGGCCAATAACAGGAGGCTTTCCTGCTACGGCCAATCAGGGCTCACCGAAGCTAGGTCTCCGCCCCCTCCTATCCTGAGGCGGCAGCGCGAGAGCCAGGAGGGGCGGGACTCCGTGACGCATGCGTCCTTCCCAGGTTACCCGAAGACTTAGGGTTAAGGGTAGGTGTCTATAGACTAGGGCCAATCGCGAGTGTGAGCGGAGCCAAATCACCTCGAGTAGACCGACGGCCAGACAAATGCCCACTATGGAGATGAGGTTGTTGTGCAGCCACTTCTGGAGGCTCTGTGCGCAGCCCTGGACGTATAGGGGAAGGTTAAAGGCAGCTTTCTAGGATTCGCCCTCAGGCCCAACCCTAATATTCTCCAGTTTGGCCTTCTCCTTTCAGACACAGACCCATTTTTTTCCTGTTGCTCGGATTCTCTAGTCATCTCCTGTACAGCCGCCTCACCTCTCCCAAATGTCTCCGCGCCCTGGACCTCAGTGTTAAGGCCCCGCCCTCTCATCAGACTCCGCCCCTTTGGAGGTTCCCGCCCCTCCGTTGTACCGTTCGTTCAAGCCCCACCCTTCTCTCGCCCCCACCTCAGGCGACACCCCATGCCACACCCCACCTGTTCAGTCTGGTCGAATTAGTTCTGCTCCAGCCCCTTTCTTTCTTTTATATATATATTTTGGTTGTAGTTGGACACAGTACCTTTATTTTATTTATTTATTTTTATGTGGTGCTGAGGATCAAACCCAGCTCCTCGCACGTGCCAGGCAAGCACTCTACTGCTGAGCCACAGCCACAGCTCCTCCAACCCTTTCTTACCTCGCGGTAGATGTGGCCATTTGCAGGGACCACGCAGATGTCTGTACTGTGCCTGGGTCGTGCCCGCGGTCCGAACCGGCCGAGCTGGGGGAAGATAATCTTATCGAAGACTGCGGAGTCGTTGGTCGCCTCCGAGGAGTTGTAGCAGGAGCAGGGCACGCTGTGCGCCTCCGACCCGTTGCCTCTCAGGACGCGGACCCGGAACCAGTCCTGGGGAGAATACCAGCCGCAGCAGCGCAGCTGAAAGAGGGATACCAGTCAGGAATATCAGGTCATGGCGGGGAGCAGGGAGCTGAGTGGTTCATGAAGGGCAGGGAAAGGTGAGCTGGGCTGGGACCGCGATGGAGCCAGGGCTAGGGCCAGGAGAGACACTTAAGAACATGGAGAGATGTGAGTCACGGGGTGACCTGGGGCTAGAAGAAAGCATCACGTTGTGAACCGGAGATTGCGTCGGAGGTGCAAGACTGCCTCCCACAGGGTTAGGTGGATGGGTGCAGAGCTACATATCTAGGGAGTGGAGTCTCTCCAAGGGTTGGGATCTGTCAGAGTCAGAGGTTCCAGCACCGGGTCATGCAGAGCTGTTGGGACTCCCGCCGCCTCGTGAGGGCAAGGGCGGGGTCTTGAGGTAGAGGGCGGAGTCGGGGTACTGGGCTACGTTAGAGCCAGTTATATTATTATCTGGGGGTGGGGTTAGAATGAGCGAGCCCTGGAGCTGGAGGCTGGCCCCAGTAGGGCGGAGTCTCCTTGACGGATCGAGCTGAACTGAGCCTCGTTAGAATACTGAGCTAGAGAAGGGGTACACCTCGGGGTTGGGCTCATGTACCTGGAACTGCACATAGTCCCAACTCTCCTCGGCCGCTGTCTCCTCCGGATCAGCACCGTAGTTTTGGATGGCCTCTAGCACGATGTCCTGCACTCTTCGCTCCACCTGAGAGTTTGTGGGTGAGGCTGGGCCTCATCAGCCCCATCCCACTCCAGCCCCTCCCAGGCTGTTCAGTGCCAATGGGTTCCTGGGCATATCTTTGCACTGACTTGGTTCCTCCCTGAATGGTTAGCTGTTTCTCTGTTGCTCAGAATCTCTTTCTACGCCTTTCTGTCATCCTCTATTTCTAGAGGTCATTAGGTGTCTATAGCATTTCTGGGACTTCTATTTCTCCGTCTCCCCACCCTCCTCCATCAGCAGGGGCTTGTTGTGTCGCTCAAGCTGGCCTCGAACTCCTAGACTCTAGCGATCCTCCCACCTCAGCCTCCCGAGTGACTGAATATCTGAGACTGCTGGCTGTCCACCATGCTGGACTTTCCCTTTGGATCTCTGCATTTCCCTCCCTCTGTCTATGTCCTTGTGTCTTTCTCTGTGTCTGTCAGCCTCTGTATCTGCATCTCTGTCTTTCGGTATCCTTGTTTCTTTCCATCTTCCTCTGCCGATTATTTTTTTGTCAGTGCCTATCTGCTTCCCCCCTCCCCCACCATCTCTCCACCACTCCTGCAAACCCCACACTACCTACTCAGCTGCCAGGGATGGGGTGCTATTGACAGGCGCTCACCCGGACCCGCTGAGTGGAGATGAGGATCCCCAGGGTGATCTGCGTGGCAAACAGGAGCAGCAGCATCCCAAAATACTAGTGAGTAGAGGGGAGAGGTCAGGCTGACCTTTTCCCCTGGCCTTTTTCGATGGGGAAGTGTTCTTGAGGATGGCCAGTGGGCAGGGCACTCACCAGACCCAAAAGGCAGCGGAGCTCCTTGAGGGCCCCCACACAACCCAGGAGGGCCAGGCCCATGGTGAGGATTCCTGAGATGGCCAGGACCTTGGACCAGATCTGCAGGGCCACGAAGGTCAAACCTGGAAGAAGTGAGAGACAGTGATGGTGGACCCAAGTACACAGCTCCAGGCAACTCCATGCCCCACCCAGGCAGCCACCCAAGTGCCGTGCAGTGTCCTGGGGGCCTCTCCCTGTGCCCTGGACCTCCCTTTCTCTGAATGTTTGCTTTTCTCTGGGACCGTCTTTGCCCCATCCTGAGTCTCTGTTTCTCTTCTAAGACTTTCTCCTACTGTCTCCCCACCTGTGTTTTCCCCCATCAGCATCTGTGTCCCTCTATTTGGCTCTCATTTTTCTCTTTTCCTCCTTTAACTCCTCCTCACACTGATAGTGTCAGCCCCATCATTTGTTCTGTGACTTTGCCTCTGTCACTTAAAACCCCTGGAAGCCAAGAGAATGATATTTATTTCCTAGAGTTTTTTTTTTTTTAGATCTAGTTTTGCTCTGTTGCCTGTCTGGCCTCAAATCCCTGAGTTCAAGCGATCCTCCTCCCTCAGCCTCCTGAATAACTGTGTTATTGCACCTGGACACATAGAGCATAAGTTGAACCCAACCCTAATGCAAGGCAAACACTTAGTAAATATGAGCTTACTTTCATTATGTCTATTAATACAACAATTTTGCCCTTTGCTTCCTGCTGTGTGACACCAACAAGGGACTTCCCCTCTATGAATCTCAAGAGATGGGAAGGTTTATGGGAGGACCTGATGAACATCAGTTCAAGATCTGACACAGGAAGAGCTTGAGAAATGAATATTGTTGTCACTGTTATTATTATTATTGGTACACACAACCCCATTTTCCAGAGGAAGACAGGCTTTGAGAAGCGAGTGACAGTGGTGAGGCTGGCATCTGCCTGGGGAATTGGGCATTCTTGGCCTCGTTAGGATAAGGGAGACCGCGGGAGGCTGCTTGGTGGCAGGCTGGGTCCAGGTCTGCTACAGGAAGGCCTTCCCTGACTGCCCCAGCCCCCTCACCCACAAACGACACGAAGCTGGCCTTGTCAATGAGTATCCAGATGCCGAAGCAGAAAATCAGGCTTCCCAGGACCTGGGGAAGGAAGATGAGAGTGTGACGGTGGACAGGGGATATGAGGTCCACGAATGGGGCTGGGCTGGGGCTGGGGCTGGGGCTGGGTAGCCACGCGAGGCAACTCACAAAGAAGAAGAGGTTGAAAACGAAGAGGAAGTACTTGATGAGGCTGAGACAGCTCTCCTGCGCCGACATCTTCACCTAGAGTGGAGAGTGACTGGCTGGATGGACCAGACAGAGATGTTGGCAGCGGGGAGACAGGCAGAGCGACAGAGGCCGAGAGGAGACACAAAGAAAGGCCAAGAGGAGGAAGAACACAGAAAGAGGAAGTTCCAGCGGTGGAGGGGTGGGGCCCCTCCCAGTCCGCTTCACTGGAGATGACTCTGTCTCTCTAACCCACCCCACCAGGACGCACTCTTGTACCTGAGGGGCCTTGGAATTGGTGGTCACCAAGGACACTGTGGATGGTCCCTCCCAGGTCTCCATGGCTCCTGCTGGGGGATCCACAGGGACTCCTAATCTACTGACATCTGTCTGGGCACCAGTACCCCAGGGCTGTCTCAGGACAGCAACCGACCTCACAGACACTCTGACCTCATGGCCTGCTAAGCTTTCCCATCTCTGCATCTGCTCTGTCCCCCTTTCCCTGCTCTGGGTCTCTTTTCCCCACCTCTCTAGGTCTCTAACCCTCTCTCCCTGGGTCTCAGTCCTTCTCTGGCTGGCTGGCTTCTTCTCACAGAGCTTCTGTTCTCTTATGAGTCTGTTCCCACACCTGTGTCTCGATTCTCCCTCTCTCTGGGTTTCTGGTCCCTTCTCTCTGGGATCTTCTCCTCCTTCTTCTGTCTCCCACTTGTCTTTGCCCCCCTCTCTCAGAGGAATCTGTGCTATTCTAGACCAGAGTGCTTCCACATGCCAGTGGGGCAGGGGCTGGGCACCTGGGAGAAGTGAAAGTGCTATGGGCCAGAGGTGGGAAGGTCCCTGGGGGTGCTGAGGGGGGCCAGGTGGTGCCAGCACACTCAGCGAAGCCGGAAGTGAGCCTCAGGCAGTACTTCCTGCCTTTGCCCCTGGAGCCTGAAGGGAGGAGGTCACAGAGGAGCCAGGGTGCTGGAAGGCACCTAGCAGCCTCTGCAGTTGCCCCTAATGTCCCCAGAGGCTCCCTGCCCTTATCAAGTCCCAGATCCCTCACAGATGTCCAACTTTGGAGGTTTCCCCACTACCCAGTCATCCATTGGCCCCTGGGAAACAGGCCTGTGAGGACCCAGCTCCATGTATTCTGAGACTCTTCTTTTGGTGCCACTGGGCATTAAGCCTAGGATCTCATACACACTGGGCAGGCACTCTACCCTGATCTACATCCCCAATCCTCATCTTCTAATTTCTAAATCATTCTGCTGAGCTCTACCCAATTTACTCCTGGATGTCCTTGGGACCGTCACCACATTCCATACAAAGCTTTAGAGCTCCCCCCAATTCTCTCCATCTGGTTTCTCCTTCTGAGGCAGCCCCACCATCTACCCAATCACTATGCCAATTCCCCAATGCTGTCTTCTTCTCCTCCTCCATACCTGCCAGACCCAAAGCCAGATCTTGCTGCTTAATCACATCTCTCCTGTGTCTTATCTCCACTTTTCTCTGAGTCATCAAATTCTCCCTATTACCCATCCAACCAGCATACAAACATGCCATTATTTCTTCTATTTTTAGAGTTTTCCCCTGGAGCCAGGCATGGTGGGAGCCAGCGACTTGGGAGGCTGAGGCAGGAGGATCCCAAGTTCAAGGCCAATCTCATCAATTTAGCAAAGCCCTGACTCTAAATAAAACACAAAAAGGGGTGGGGATTAGCCTAGTGTTCAAGCACCCCTGGGTTCAATCCCTGGCGCACACACACAAAAAAATTTCCCTTTGAACTCACATCCCTGTACAGCTTTTTATCATTTCTTCCTCTCGTTGATAACAAAACATGTGAAATTGGCCATGCCTGCTGCCTCTGCTTCCCTTCAGGTCTTTGAGTCAAGCTTTCATTTGTCACTTATTCACAAAAACTGCTTTTGTCAAAGTTACCAGTGATATCCACATGGTCAGTTCTTGGTCCCCATCTGGCTCGACTTCTCTGTCTCAGTGGTTGTGGTTCCACAGGGATAGTATCTGCATCTCCTGGGAACCTACTATAAATGCAATTCTCAGTCTCCAGGCCAGACTTATAGTGGTGGTTTTGAGTGGTGGCCTCCAACAAAACAAAACAAACAACCCCCAAATCTCTTCCTAACCCCTGGAATCCATGAATATGACCTTATTTGGAAAAAAAAAGATTCTTTGCAGATGCAATTTTGAGTTAAGGAGTTCAAGGTGAGATTAACTTGGATTATTTGAGTTGGCACTAAATCCAATGACAAGTGAGTGTCCTTTTAAGAGACACAAGAGAGACACCCAGAGGAGTGAAATTCCTAGAGGAACAGGTTACATGAAGATGCAGGCAGAGACTGAGGTGTGCAGAAGAAACCCCTGAAATCACCAGAAGCTGGAATAGGCAAAGATGATTGTCCCCAAGACCCTTTCAAAGAAGTGGTCATGCTGACACCTTGATTTTGGACTTCTGGCCTCCAGAACTCTGAGAGAATAAATTTGTGTTGTCTTAAGATGTAAAGTTTGTGGTAATTTTTACAAGAGATAAATATGCCAACTGAATCAGAAATTCCAGATGTGGGCCCGGCTACTGTGTTTTAACAAGATTTCCAAGTGGCTGATGTGCACTAAAATTTGAGAATAGTGAATTCACATTATTCTTCCTTCCTTTACTGGCCTTCAGGACATTAAACTCTTTTTGATCTTCTTCCTTTCTTCCTCATTGGCTGCTGCTTCTCAGTCTCACTGAAACCTCTTTTTAACTTCTAAAATTTGGAAAGCCCCAGCCTTTTCTATCTACACCCACACCCTAGGTGATTGGCAGTGCCATGGTGCTTACCACAACCCATGTGATATCAGTTTATCTATTTCTATCCCTAGCCCCATGCTGTTCCCGGAACTTCAGGCCAGCGGTCCATTATCTTACTTTTATTCATCCACTTTCCATTTCTATTACAAGATACTGAGGTTGAGAACTTTATAAAGAAAGAGGTTTATTGAGCTCACAGTTTAGGAGGCTGAAAGTCCAGGAGTGGGTGACCCCACTGATCCAGCCTCTGGCGAGGAGACTCCTGTGGCTACATCGCATCATGGCGAGCAGCATCGTAATGGCAGGAGCTCATTTAAGAAGGAGAATTCATGTAGTGAAATAAGAAGCCAGAAGAGAGGGAGTGGCCAATCTTGGTTTTTATAACAACCCATTCTCATAAGAGCTAACTCACTGCACAAGACTGCATGAACCCCGTCTAAAGGCAGGACAGTGGGCCCAGTAACCTAACCACAGTGTAATAAGTCTCAAGTCTGAACGATTCCATACTACACACATCAACAGCGCCATGGTGGGAAATCAAGCTTTTAACACCCAAATCTTTGGGGGATGAATGACATTCAAGCCATGTTACTCCCCAGGGTCTCCCTTGGCTGTGTAATTGGCATATCAAACTGAACTGTTGATCCCTTCCTACTCCCTGTCCCAGCATTCTCCAACTCAGTAAATTGCCACTGCATCTTCCAAGTGTTCAGATTCAAAGTCTTGGAGTCATTCTTTTTTTTTTTTATTTTTATTTTTTGTAGTTGTAGGTGGACAGTATGCATTTATTTGTTTTTATGTGGTGCTAAGGATTGAACCCAGTGCCTCATACACACTAGGCAGGTGCTCCACCACTAAGCCCGCCAAGCCCCAGTCTCTTGCTTCCTCTCTTTCTCTCACCTCTCAATCATTGTTAGTTATCTAATGCTCTATAATAGATCACCCCAAGCTTAGCAGCTTAAGACAGTAAACAATTATCTCATACAGTTTCTGTGGGTCAGGGATCCAGGAGGAGCTTAGCTGAGTAGTTCCTGCTCAGTGTTTTATGAGGGTACATTCAAGATGTTGGCTGGGACTGCAGTCCTCTGAACATTAACTGGGCTGGAGGATCCACTTCCCCATGATTCACTTACATGGTGCTGGCTGTTGGCAGGAGGCCTTAGTTCTTCCCCACATGGATCTTTCCATGACCTGCTTGAGTGGATTTACAGGATGGTGGCCAACTTCCTTTAGAGAATGTGCAAAGAAGAAGCAGCAGTGACTTTTATGGTCTAGTCTTGGAGGCTCTTACCTTACTTCTGTTCATTGGAAGTCAATCAGTATGTGCAACCTACACTGAAAGGTTGATGAATTAGGCTCTGTTTCTCAATGGCAGAGAATTTGCAAGCATATTTTTAAAGCTCCATGCAATCCATCAACAAATTGTATCAGCTCGGTTTTTGCAATAGATTCAGAATTCAACTACTTCTCACTGTATACACTGCTTATCCCCCAGATGTAGGCCACCACTCACCTCTTGCCTGGACTGCTGAGATGGCCTCACTGGCTTCAGATTTCTATCAGTAGTCCATCCATTCTGTTCTCTGCCCAGAAGCCAGAGGGATCCTTCTGTTAAATGTGAGTCATTTCTTGACTCAGAATCCTCTAATAGCTTTTCACTTCACTAAAAAAAAAAAAAAAAAAATCCCCACCTTTCACTCTTTGAAATTCTTATTTGTTTATGTGTTTACTACTTTATTTTTGGTGATACTGAGGATTGAATCCTGGGGTGCTTCACCACTGAAATACAACACCCACTCACATCGGACCATCACCTACAGGGCCTCCATATAATACTGTGCCTCCTGCTACTTCTCTAACCCCACTTGTTACCACTCTCCTTCAATCACTAGGATATAGTCAATTTCAGACTCCTTCTGTTTCCAGATTTTTGCTGTTGCTGTTTGCTTGGCCTGGAATGTTCTTCCCCAGGCAATTTACATGGTTCCATTCCTCAGTGCCTTCAGGTCTCTGCGCAAACGTCATATCCTCCAAGAGGCACATTTTGACTACCCGGTCTAAAGTAGATTCCTGACTTACTGTTTTAAAAAAAAAATTTTTTTGTAGTTGTAGATGGGCAGCATGACTTTATTTTATTTGCTTATTTTTGTATGTGGTACTGAGGATTGAACCCAGTGCCTCACATGTGCCAGGCAAGCACTCTGTCACTGAGCCCCAGCCCCAGCACCCTGACTTACTCTTCATATCACAATATTTTGCTTTCTTTAGCTTTTTTCTTTCTTAACAGCATTCTTGCTCTTTCAAATTCTTATTTGTTTATTTCTACTTTTTTTTTTTTTTTGGTGGTACTGGGGATTGGATCCAAGGGTACTTTACTACTGAAATACAACACCAGCCTTTTTGATTTTTTATTTTGATATGGGATCTCACTAAGTTGCTGAGGCTGACCTTCAATTTTTTTTTTTTTTTTTTTTTTTTATTTTTTTAAAAAATTTTTTTTTAATGTTTATTTTTTAGTTTTCGGCGGACACTACATCTCTGTCTGTATGTGGTGCTGAGGATCGAACCCGGGCTGCACGCATGCCAGGCGAGCACGTTACCGCTTGAGCCACATCCCCAGCCCCTGACCTTCAATTTGTGATCCTCCTGCCTCAGCCTCCTGGGATTACAGCATGTGCCACCATGCCCGACTACTTACTATCTTTTTTTCCAGAATTTAAAATCATTTTTAATGATTTTTAATATCAATAAATATTGACTGACAGGTGCTTTGAACTCACAGCTTTTTTTTTCTTTTTTTATTTTTTTTAAAGAGAGAGAGAGAGAAAGGGAAAGAGAGAATTTTAATATTTTATTTTTTAGTTTTCGGCAGACACAACATCTTTGTTTATATGTGGTGCTGAGGATCGAACCCAGGCCGCACGCATGCCAGGCAAGTGTACTACCGCTTGAGCCACATCCCCAGCCCGAACTCACAGCTTTTCTTGCCTCAGGGCCTTTGCCTAATTTTTCACCTAGTAAATCATCCTCCAAGCTTTACTTGAATGTTACTTTCTCAGAGAACTCCTCCCTCTAAATTAGATGTATAGCCTGTTTTTTATGTCACACAACTTAACAATTTGTAATCATGCAGTTATTTGTGATTAGTCAAATATCTGTTTCCCTATTGTGTGAAGCAAAAAATGAAGGCAGCAATGGAGTCTGTTTGTATTTCCACAGTATTCCCAGTGCCTAGTATTTATTACCTCGTTTGTAAATATGTGCTGAAGGATGGAATGAGTCATATAGACTGATCAATTCTTACAGAACCCCAAAATTTCCTTTACATCTCTTTGTTCAATAACCATATTTAAGCCTGTGATTCTCAAAGTGTGGCCCACAGACTCCTGAGACATTTTCTGGGATCCATGAGATGAAATGATTTTTGTACTCCTAGTATATGTTATTTGCCTTCTCACTCTCATTTTTTTTTTTCAATGGGTGGATCAAACCTGGGGACTCATGCATGCCAGGTATTCTTTCTACCACTGAGTTACATTCTTAGCCCCTTCACTCTCATTTTTCTCTATAATTGATAGTGATACTTTCTAGAAGCTATGGAATATGAATGACTTCTTTTGACAGACTCAGTGCAGAAGCAGATATGAGAATTCAACTGTCTCTAATAAGCCAGCCCTTAAATAGATTTACAGAAATTTAAAACAATTCTACTTGTCTCACTAAATTTACTTTTGTTGTAGCAATTATAATTATTTTTCATATAAGTGTTATTTATACTGACACATAATAATGTTTTATCCCCCTCATATTGGGGATTGAAACCAGGAGCACTTTACCACTGAGCTACATTCCCAACCTGTTTAAAAAAATTTTTTTTTAGTTGTAGATGGACACAATACCTTTATTTATTTATTTTTTTATGTTGTACTGAGGATCTATCTCAGTACCCCATACGTGTAAGGCATTCACTCCACTGCTGAGCCACAATCCCAGCCCCCCCCCCCATCTGTTTTTTATGTTTTGAGACAGGGTTTCACTAACTTTATGAGGCTGGCCTTGAACTTGAGAACTTCCTGCCTCAGCCTCCTGAGTGGCTGGGATCATAGGCAAGGGCCATTATGCCCGGCCCATAATATAAATTTTAATAACAACAATAACCTCATTTTGATAGATACAACTCACATCAACTCACAACCCACATACATAACCCATGTAAATTATTTGGGTTCTTAAATTTTGGGAAATGCAAAAGTCCAGAGATCAAAGAATCTGAGAATAGCCGACCTAAGTCAATCTTTTTTTTTTTTTTTTTTTTTAATTTTTGTCTGCCACACCAGTAGATTTCTGAGTTTTTTTTTTTTTTTTTTAAGCAAAGTGCGTCTCTGCCTCGTTGGGTGTGTATCTAATGTTTGGCACTGGTAGGGGATCTCTGAGGGTCAAAGATTTACGGGCTAGGAAGAACGGGGACATCCAGCATGCCCCATCACTTGGGAGCGTGGAAGCAGAGGACACGCAATAAACGCGTCTTCCCGGCCAGTGGTGGAGGAAAGGTATTGGTACCGGGGGCGCAGAGGACGTCAAGGGAGCAGCGGCGCTTGCGCGTTCTGAACGGGAGAAAGCAAAGCTGTGGAGAGCGTCAGCGGGGCGCGCGCAAGGGAATCAGCAGCGCATGCGCAGGGAAACGGCGGGAAAGCCCTCTCGTGATCCTGGTGAGCTTGAGGAGCGTGCGCATCCGACGAGGCCGGAAGAGGCCAGAGGAGGTTGCTGGGCGTTGCAGTCGATATTTCTTCACTGTCATTTAAGTCACTCTGATCAGACTGAAGACCCGGTAGGGATCTCGAGGCCCCGGGGAGAATGACTTAGCCTGGGAGCCCTGGAACGTTCCCAGCGGTGGGGTGTGTGGGGCTGGGCTCGCTGCCTTCCCGGAGGGGCGCCAAGGGGTCGAAGGGGTCCTGCTTCCCCCGTTGGACCCAGGAAACTGCCTGCGGCCGCTTTGGCCCTCCCGGTGCGACTTTGAGCCTGGGCCGGGCCCTGACCTCGCAGGACGGGCCGACAGCCCTTGCCCTTGGGTGACAGGCGATTGTTATCCAGATGGTGACAACCCCAGACCAGCCGCACCACCAGCCTGTTGGGAACCACGACTTGTTTCCTGCTCTTGGAGGAACTCCAGCCCCCTCTTCGCCTTTTCGGAGGCTCTAGTTCTGAGGAAGGAAGTAAACGAGGGAATGGGCGACCGTGAGGGAAGAGGAGAGGAGCTGCGGGGGGCGGGCAGGGCGGCCCGCGAGGGAGCAGCGGGGCCCGCGCTGCAAGCTTCCCGAGCGGGCGGTTGGCCGGACGCGGCTCTCACTCAAGGGTTAAACTGGCCAATTTGCCAGAAAACACTTTGGAAGGGCTGCTCTTCTTGAATGTGGTGAAGGATGGAGACTCTGGTTGGCAGAGGGCCTGCCTCCCATGCGCAGGGCCCGGGCTCAGCCCCCAGCACCACGAGGGAATGACGACCCCACGGCGAGTCTGTCTCCCACGTGTGCACCTGGCCTTGAGGGGCGGAGTCAGGGGTCGGTTAACCACGCGGTGCACTCTGAGAAGCAGAAATACTTTGAGGTATGTTCCGTTTCAGCTGCTGGCAAATATCTCGGAGCAGTGAAGATTTATGCCTCTAGGTAAGCTGACAACTCTCAGATGTCTCCAGCTTCCCGAGCTTCCTTAACTTTTATATAAACCGATTGGAGTTTTCTGTTCACTTTTTTCCTTTTCAATATTTTTTAGTTGTTGATGGATCTCTGTTTGTTTATTAATTTATAGGTGGTGCTGAGAATCGAACCCAGTGCCTTATACATGCTAGGCAAGCACTCTACCACTGAACCTCAGCCCTTTTTTTTTTTTTTTGTAAAATATTTATTTCTTAGTTTTAAGTGGACACAACATCCTTATTTTACATTTATGTGGTGCTGAGGATTGAAATCAGTGCCTCAAGCATTCTAGGTGAGCACTCTACCACGGAGCCACAACCCCTCAGCCCTCCTTTTTCAAAAGAAAAAGAAAAGCCAAACCCAAATGAAAGAAGTAATGGTAGATAATTTTCAGAGTTTATCTTGCTTGATTTTATGTTGAAAATATGAGACTTAATTAGATCCGTTTTCTATTTTTAGTTTTTGTGACACCATTCTGAACATTTCCACTAATTATTTGGCTATTTCGGCTATTTTTTGTACTTTTATTTTATTTTTATTTTTTAAAAAATACTTATCTATTTATGTATCTTTAGTTTTAGGTGTTTTTATGTGGTGTCAAGGATTGAACCCAGTGCCTCATGCATGCCAGTCAAGCACTCTAAAACTGAGCCACCACCCCAGCCCCTGTACTTTTATTTTTAAAATTTAAAGTTGTGGGGCTGGGATGTAGCTCAGTAATAGAGCACGCACCTCACATGCACAAAGCCCTGGGTTTAATCCTCAGCTTCAAAAGGATTATGGGCTAAAGCAAAGTGATCTAGTTACCAAGTCTCAAATATCCAAGAGTCCCTGGAAAAATTCATGTTGTAAGAGACAAATATATGTAAAGCACTCAGTACTATGCCTACCACACAGTATATGGTGAATGAAGGCTGACCATAATTTTCATTACTTTTATCAAAGTACCTTATAAAACAAAAAACAAAAGTGAAATACAATACTTATTCAGAAAAGTGTATCGAACAGAGTTTCTAATGAATAATTACTAATTTTGTATCTGCATATTAGCCTATTTTCTGTTACTATAACAAAATATCTGAAGCCTGGTGTTTACAAACAAAAGAGGTTTATTTCTGTTGATAGTACTGGAGGTTCAACATGTCACTGCATTCTGCTCAGCCTTGATGAAGGTGTCTTTGCTGTGTCACAACATGTTGATTAGCCCATGGTAGGAGTATGTATGAGAGGGAGACATCATCTGGCAAGACAAGAAACCAGAGATTCAGGGGTCAAGCTTGCTTCTTCATAACAACTTACTCTTCAGAAAACTCACTCATTCTAGGAGAATAAATCCTTTCTGAGGTTGCTGGCCCTAGAGATGCCTATTGTATTGAGATGTTTTTACTTACCGATTTGGAGGTATTCTTTATGTATTTTAATTCTGATAAAAATACACACCACATGAGGGCTAGGGTTGTGGCTCAGTGGCAGAGTGCTGGCCTAGGATACATGAGGCACTGGATTTGATCCTCAGCACCACGTAAAAATAAAATAAAGATACTGTGTCAAAAAAAATACACACCACATGAAATTTACTGTCTTAACCATTTTTAACTGTGCAGTTCAGTGGTATTAAATATATTGATAATGTTATTCAACCATCATCACAATGTATTTTCATAACTCTTTTCATATTGTAAGACTGAAAGTCTAAACTTATTGAACAATAACTCCTTATTCCCCTTTCCTTTCAGCTACCAATAGTCATCATTTATTTTCTGCCTGTATGATTTTGACTACTGTAACTCATGTAACTGTAATCATATAGTATTTGTCTGATTTATTTCACTTAACATAATTTCCTCAAGGTTCATCCCTTTTATAGCATAGATCACAATTTCCTTCCTTTTAAGGCTGAATAATATTCCATTGTATACATATGTATATCAAAGTTTGCTTATCCATTTATCCATCCATGGACACATAGGTTGCTTCCACGTTTTAGCTGTTGTGAATAATAGCTGTTATGTAACTGGATGTATAAGCATCTCATAAAATCCTGCTTTCACTTATCTTGTGTTTATACTCTGTTGCTGGGTGATATGGTGATTCTATTTTTAATATTTGAGGACCAACCATATTGTTTTTCTTAGCAGTTGCACAGTTTTACATTTCTACTAACAGTATACAAGGCTTCCAATTTCTCTACATTCTTGCTACACTTCTTATTTTCTAATTTTTTTTTTTTTACATTAGTCATCCTAGTGGGTATGGGTGTGAGGTGATATCTCACTGTAGTTTGCTTTTTTAAATATTTTTTAGATGGACACAATATCTTTATTTATTAATTTTTATGTGGTACTGAGGATTGAACCCAGGGCCTCGCATGTGCTAGGCAAGCGCTCAACCGCAGAGCCACAACCCCAGCCCCTGTAGTTTGCTTTTTTATTTTTATTTTTTTGCAGTGCTAGGGTTTTAACCCGGGGCCTCATGCATACTAGGCAAGCACTGTACCTAATTATTTGGCTATTTTGGCCAAATACAGTGAGCCACATCCCTCACTGTAGTTTTGATTTCTATTTCTTTAATGGTTAGTGATTCTGAGCATCTTTTCATATGTTTCTTGACCATTTGTGTATCTTCTTTGGAGAAATGTCTATATAAAAGTCCTTTGTCCATTTTTGCATTGTTTGATTTTTTTTTTTGTTGTATTTCAGGAGTTCTCTATATATGATTTGCCAATATTTTATCTCCTTCTTGGGGTTGCCTTTTAACTGTTGTTTTTTATTTTTGGGGGGGGGAGTGGTTGCTAGGGTTTGAACCCAGAGCCTAGTGCATTCTAAGCACACACTCCACCACTGAGCTTTACCTCCAGTCTCTTTACTCTGTATCTTTTAACGTACCTTAAATTTTTCTTTAGCTGAATTATGTGGCACACACCTATAATCCCTTCTACTTGGGAGGCTGGCCTGCATTTAAATATGTCAAAGTTATAACGACAAGGAAAGATGGAAGTGTTGTAAGTCTGGAATTACAATTTTAAGACTGAAATCATGTCAAGGTTAATTTTTTTTTTAAGTTGCAAACTCTGGATACTCCTACCATTTACCACTAAAACAAAAGAAAGCATCTTTTAGGACAAAGAGCCACATGAACACCGAAGTACAAACTTACCCATAATCTTCCCACCCAAGGGAAAAAAAATTTTAAAGTTGAGTGCCTGTTATCCCATTTACTTGGGAAGTTGATGCAGGAGGATCACAAGTTCAAGGCCAGTCTCTGCAGTTCAGAGAGATACTGCCTCAAAATAAAAATAAAAAATGTTGGGACCACAAAATGAATTATGGTCCTAGAATTGTCCAGGGACAGAGGTGATAGCTCTCTTGGGGATTTCTTTGCACCAGTCGAAGATTGCCCAGTTGCTATGATGATGTCCTGTTCAAATGCAGGCCAGTTGTTTTATAGAGTGTTCCTTAGTTGAGTTTGCACTGTAATGTAAGGAAAAGGCTTTTTTCCCTTTACTTATGTCACTATAAATATATGCATTTTTAAAATTAATTTTTTAAATTTATATATGACAGTGGAATACATTACAATTCTTATTACACAAATAGAACACGATTTTTCAAATCTCTGGTTGTATAAATTTATACATTCTTATTTGGTTGATAAGAGCTACTTCAACCTGATTCCTGTGTCCAGTATTAATTTTTAATTTTTATTTCTTGATATATATTTTTCTTTTTTAAAAAAAATCTATTTTATTTAGTATAACTGATAAAGTTAACAGACAAATATATTTTAAGGTAACAAAATGTTATAATTGATGTTTACCATCTACATTTTTTTTAGTTGTAAGATGGACAAAATACCTTTATTTTATTTGTTTTTATTTTTATGTGATGCCAGGGATCAAACCTAGTGCTTCACACATGCTAGGCAAGCACTCAATCACTGAGCCACAACCCTGGCCACTTACTGTCTATATTTTAAAGGTTATTTTACTGTAGTCAAAGACTTCACAATTGGATTTTACCCATTTTTGAAATGTAAAATGCACAATTATAATATTCATAGTACATATTTTACAATTTTAAAGTTTTAGCAAAAACATTTGAGTTTCTGCAAGTAAAAGCAAGAGTTCTTCTATACTTAAGACAAATAAAATGCATTACTGATAAAGTGCCAATGGATTAGATAATGCAGTTTCAACTATTTCATTTTTGGGGAGGAGGACGAAAGTACATAAATCAATTATAGAACTAGTAATTTTCATTATGTTAGTATAGAGCTAGCAATTTTCATTATGCTTTGTAATAAGTGAAAGAGTGCTTGTAGTAGATATTAACCACAATAAAGAATTTTTCTCAAGAAAGTTCACAATTAACATGACAAGCTGCTAAGACGTTGCTGAATGGAATTTAGTGTCCAGAGTTTTAAAAAAAGTGCATTCTTGAACTAAGATAAAACTAATTCTACCAATAACAAGAAATGTATGAACTGCAAATAAATCAGAGAATCTCTCTCTTTTTTTAAATGATAAACTAGGTTTCTATCTGTTGTAAAGAGTTTTTTACAACAATGCATGAGGCTCTGGGTTAAAACCCTAGAGAAGGAACTAGTGGTGAATGACAAAGTTTGGCAAAAGTATTTTTCTAGCAGGTGAAAGCTTTGTGTGCATTGCTATACGATGCATCTTTCACATAAAGAAAAAATGTTTACTAGATATATACAGCACTTTTCAGGCACTTGGCCTTACTTGGTAGTTAAATTGGTGTTCAGATGTTTATTTAATGGAAAAAAATTAAATTACAAAGTGACTTTAAGCCATGTTCCCACAGAACATCTGTGTTCTGTAAACTAAATCCATATGCTCCCTGCTAAAATCAAATAACGATGCCCTATACCCAATTCAGCAGAAAAAATGTAAGAGATCAAAGTTAATAGACTGAATTTTCTCAATTTTAGGATTTTTCACTGTAAGTTTT